CCGCCACAACGCCTGGCTATTTTTTTTTGGTAGTAGCCATCATTGTTGTTTGGCGGGCCCTGGCTAGATTCGAACCTGCCACCTTAGAGGTATGTTGCTGGCGCCTTAGCCACTTGAGCCACAGGCACGGAGCCCCAAGTTGAGCTTCTTTTATTTTTACATATTTTTTATTACAAATAATACGTTCACTACAGAAAAAAGTTAAAAAAAACATACACAATCTCACTATTCTATAACAATCACTGTTAACATTTAATATTAGAGCTACTCTTAAAAATCATGAACCAAGCAGGGCTCATGCCTGTAACCTTAACACTCTTAAAAGCCAAGAAGAGAAGATCCCATGAGCTCAGGATTTCAAGACAAACCTGAGACTCTGTCTCCCTAAAAACAGAAAAATTAGCTGGGCGGTGTGGTGGGCGCCTGTAGTCCCAGGTACTCTGGAGGCTGAGGCAGGAGGATCAATTGAATCCAGGAGTTTGGGGTTGCTGTGAGCTATGATGATGCCACAGCACTTTAGCCTGGGCAACAGAGGGAGACTCTGTCTCAGAAAAACAAAAAACAAAACAACAAAAAAACATGAACCCAAAGCAACACAGGGAGAGTACAAAGATACAGCGAAGTATTTCTGAGCACACCATTTTTGTAGTCTATAAAGAGAGATTACCATACAAGTCCTATAAAGGTGGTTTAGTAGGGAACATATCATCACAGATTCAGAATTAAACAGTGAAAAGACTGAAAAGAAGTATAAATTACTTAGCTAAGCCTTAAAACTACTTTGGCAAAGAGGAAAGGAAAAAAACCCTGCTAGGTTATGGGCCTCGGGTTGGCACAGGAAACCTAATACTTAAAACATATAGATAGTCTCTGTTAGAGAAATATAAGTAACATCTATTTCCAAAACCCAATACAATTTATGTTGGTAAAAGTTAAAAGCAGAAACTGTCAAAACACTTACTATAAATGTTTTCGTAGTGCCACCATCAAACATTAATTTGAATGTGATCTAATGTCCCTGTTTTGGTTTCTGTTAGACTGCTCAGCATAATAATTTCTGATCTCTCATGGTAGAGATTTCAATGAACATTAGAAGAGCCTGGGCCTCTTCTATTTGAAACCTCACGGAAGTGAGTTAGTTCTGGATCAGAGTACTATGCCCCAGCAGGGGTCTGCCTGCTAGAGAGCAGGAACCAAGAGCCACAGATGGGCTGACAGCAGCAGCCAGGTGTGTTGCTGGACAAAAAGGACAGTGTGGTCTGTCACCTGCTTTCCAAAGTAAGAGTCCAAGAGCGGAAGGAGCACATGCTTTGCTTGTGATCCCCAGAACACTTACTTCTTCTCACCGCTGCCCCTTGGGCCCCAACAACTCTGTGACCAGCCTGTGTTCTCTCATTTATGCTACACATGTTGTTTGCTTAGTATCGTTAAGTGACATTTTCACATTAACCAATAACACACATTCTAGTGGAACATCTGTGTGGTGGTCACTGGAGGGAAGGGTTAGGCAAGGACCAATGTATTGAAAGTGTGAGTGGAGAAGGGTAATGTTGAAAAGTTGGTCAGAAAGTCAGGGTAGTATCCAGCAAATGCTCTATAACAACTAGGAAAATGTCTTGGAGGTCAGAGAATATCTGGGGCCTTCCCAGAGAAGTAAGTAGCAGCTTCCGTGAGAGCTCTCCAGGCCCCAGGACCCTGGGTATGCACCAGACCAGCACTGAGCCAGGTCAGCAGTCACTGGTAGTTTAGTTCCATTTAAAATTCAGTGAATTAGGGCTCAGCACTATAGTACAGTGCTTACAGCGCCAGCCACATACACCAAGGCTAATGGGTTCGAAACGGGCCCAGGCCAGCTAAACAACAGTGACAACTACAACAAAAAATAGCCGGGTATTGTGCCAGGCCCCTACAGTCCCAGCTACTTGGAAGGATGAGGCAAGAGAATCGCTTACACCCAAGAGTTTGAGGTTGCTGTGAGCTGTGATGCCACAGCACTCTACCAGGGGTGACATAGTGAGACTCTGTCTCAAAAAGAATAAAAAAGATAAATAAACAAAATAAAATTTAATGAATTACAATTAAGCAATAAATATAGAACTTGGATAGTTATGTCCCTATTAACTAGGATGAAATTCTCACCTGGAATTTGCTGCCAGTTTCATCAGGGTGAGCACCTATCACTGGAGGAGTAAATAACTCATGCCTGTGAGTCCTCTAAAAACACAAAAAAGATTCACATGAATGACCAAAACACACACTTAAAACCAAGAGTCACTGAAACTGAGCCCTGAGGAAACCCTGTCCTTAAACTAATATTGCTATTACTCAGTCCCAACAAATTTGAAAGCCCACATAATGTAGCAACAGACAAACATTTAGGAATGTAATTTGAAAAGTTAAAAAAATTAAAAACTGTTTTTTTCTCAGAAAGGTCTATTGTGTGCCTGGCAGCAGCACACCTGGGCTGAGGTGTCACCCACAGAGCACTGTGGCTACAGAATGAGAAGGGCCACCATACAACAAACTGGGGGGGGAGGGGACTGGGCTCCAGCCCAAAGGGGACACCGAACAAGATCTTAGATGATAAATAAGACATGGTAAGTGAGAAAAAAAGGAGGCTGAGACAAGACACTGCAGGCAGAGACCGTACGTGTAACAGAGTATCAGGAAAGTTATGCGAAGTTTAGTGCCACTGGGTCATAGAGTGCACCAGGCGGCATGTCAGGCAGGCAGGAGGTTAGTAAGAGAATCTCTCAGAGATTCTAGGGGATTCTAGGGGTTTCTAAGGGAACTGTCCGTGGTTCAGGCAACACTCACGCGCCTTCCCCCATCTAATGATAGGGAACCAAGGCCCAGAAAATGAAAGTACTCCAACCTCTTGGCCAGTGACTGGTTAAGGATGAGCAAATGCATCAACCCAGGCCAATAAGAGGCACATTTTAGACTTTTTCTAGAACTATTGGAAAAGAAGAATTGTCTTTCCAAGAGTTGCTAAGGCTAATTATGGCCATCTTTGTCACTCCATAGGGTGTTTGAAAGTAAAATCACTGTTAAAAAAGAGCTGGGGGGTGGCACCTTTGGCTCAGTGAGTACGGTGCCAGACCCATATACCAAGGGTGGCGGGTTCAGACCTGGCCCCCGCCAAACTGCAACAAAAAAAATAGTCAGCATTGTGGTGGGCACCTGTAGTCCCAGCTACTAGGGAGGCTGAAGCAAGAGAATCGCCTAAGCCCAGGAGCTGGAGGTTACTGTGAGCTGTGACACCACAGCACTCTACAGAGGACAATAAAGTGAGACTATCTCTAAAATAAATAAAATAAAAAGAGCTGGGACAAGGAAAGAGGCAGATGCCCCATGACATTGTGTGCACACCAGGACCCAGCCAGGCTTGAAACCAGCAGGCAATAATCAAAGCCAAGCTGACATATTCCTTTCTCGGTTTGAATCAGTTCAAGTTTCTGTAACCTCCCAGTGAACTGCCTTGACAGACTTTGGGATGCCAAGCCAAGAAGTTAATCTTATAGACAACGGAAGATAAAAATTTTGAAATAGTAATTATGATAAAATTAGATTTGTTTTCAAGAAGATAATGGCAATGAAAATATGAATGGGACCAAGTGTGGTAGATTGTGCCTATAATCCCGTACTTTGAAGGCTGAGGCAGGAGGATCACTTGAGGCCATGAGTTTCAGACCAGCCTAAGTAACATAGTGAGACCTTGTCTCTACACAAGATAAAATAAAAAATTAGCCCGGTGCAGTGACATGCACCTTAGTCCCAGATACTTGGAAGGCTGAGGCAGGAGGATCGCTGAAGCCCAGGAGTTCAAGGCTGCCATAAGCTAAGATCACACAAGGTAAGACCTTGTCTCAAATAAAAACGAAAAGGAAAATATGAATGAATCTTTTATTTCACAGATGAAAAATGCAGCTCAGAAAGGCTAAATGGCATACCCATAATAATACAAGTCAAAGCATATTAAAAAAAGGTCTGGAGTCTGATTGCAGGAGTAGCACCCCGAGTGAAAGGCAAGGCCAAGTATAACCCACACCTAGGTAGGTTTCACACAAGAGGAAACTGCCCCTAAGTAAAGATCAAGAAGGGCTCCAGAGGCTCATCGCCTATAGCTCAGGGGCTAGGGTGCCAGCCACATACACCAGAGCTGGAGGGTTCAAAACCAGCCCAGGCCTGTCAAACAATAATGACAACCACCACCAAAAAACAGCCGGGCATTGTGGTGGGCACCTGTAGTCCCAGCTACTCAGGAGGCTGAGGCAAAAGAATCGCCTAAGCCCAAGCGCTGGAGGTTGCTGTGAGCTGTGAGGCTACAGCACTCTACCGAAGGCGACTCTGTCCTAAAAAATAAAAAAAGAAGGGCTCCAGAAAGGAGAAACCTGAGAAGGGCCTTCCAAAATTAGGAAGGTGTGGACAGCCGGGGGGCGGTGGCGGGGGGACAACAGTATAAGCCAAGTTATGGAAGAAGTGGGAGAAACATGAATGATAATTCCTTATTTCAGTTTTGGCTCCAGCACAAAGTGTGACTAGAACAAAAGTTGAGATTAGGTCAAATATTTGTGATAGAAGATTTCAAATATTAAGGATGATCTGTATTTAATTCAATAGGCACCAAACTCTCTTGAAAGACTTCTGGGCATAACCCACCAGGTAGGCGGAGATAGATTTCAGGAGATTAACCAGGAACATGACCTTGGCAATGGAAGCAGCAGTGGATGGGCGTCCCCGGTGCCACCTCCTTGGCCTGCGTCCAGTGCTTCTCACTGCAGACTGTCCTCTCCTCAAAGTCTTCTTATGCTTCTGCCACATAGCACCATCCTCACTGGCCCCCGAATTCTACCTGTTTCCTTTTCTCACATTCACCTCCTTCTCTTGGGGTCTCATCCTTGCAGTTCCACTTCTTACTATGTGCAGATGCCCAGTGAATCTCTCTCACTACCCACCCATATGTCTTTCCTTGGCTTCAGATGTACATTGCACCTGATACCCTCCTAGCAATCTTAACTTGAATGTTTAAAATAGACAGAACCTGCCATCATCTTCCACAAACATTGTTTTCCCCCCACTTGTTAATGTATAATCCTTATTGTCCCATTCTGTTCTTTCAGACTCTAAGCCTGACTCACCTTTGCTTCTACCCCGGCTCCCTTCTCCTGCACATCCAGTCAGTCTCCCTGTCTATCCCACCTGCCACTTCCTTCACACAGGCGATCATTTATGCCAAGACTAGACTCACAGGAGTCATCTGTGAGACTCATCTGTGAGTCTTCTCTCATACACTCTCACAGACAGACTGAGTTATGGTCCATTAAGTACTTCATTTCCAAAAAACACAGTGGGCGGCATCCTTTCTCAGCTTATTGGTGTTGCTGAAAAGGCTTCTTTTGTTTCCATCCATGCAGATTTTACATTTCTTGACTTTTGTGTATCTCAAACTTTCATAATGACCCATGACCCAGGACAGCGTTTCAACCCCCAAAGGTGGCACTCCCAAGATTCAGCTTCCAACTTGCCGTCACAAACTTGTCTCGTGCTGCTCGACTGCTCACCCTTTCCTACACAGAGTCCACGTTTTCCTTTTGCTGTGCCTTTGTTCACACGTTACCATCACTTTTTCCCCGTGTCCACACGATCAAAGCAGGCTAGGCCCATATCCAATGCCACCATTTCCTTGAAGACTTCCCTAATTTTTCCATCAAATGCATTGTTTGTATCTCTTTTATAACATGTATAAAATTCTACTTTCTATCTATTGTGCAAATGCCTTTAACTTCATAAGCTGTGAACTGCTGGAAGGTAGCAGAGTATAGCAGCTAATGGCTGGGCTCCAGCAGCACACAGACTGGATTCAACCCTGTCTCTACTTAACCAGAGGTGACCTTTGGGCAAGTTACTAAATTTCCCTAGGCCTCAGTTTCCTCATCTGTAAAACATGGATAATAGTAGCATTTATACATATATTAGTGCTGTGAGCATTAAATGAGGTAAATAATGTATGTGAAGTGCTGAGCACAGTGCCTGCCGTATCAAAAGCATATATTAAACATTAGCTACTGCTTTTATTATCATCACTATTGCTAAGGGGAAAATTTTTTTCATTTTTTTCATCTCTATCCCCTATACAGTCTCAGTCACAAAGCTCCCCAAAACAGCCCACTGAATGATCAACGTTAGACTACAAAATTCCATTCTTTAAGTATCCCGGAGATTTCCCTACACTGAAACAGTCTCTTTTCCCCCCAGTTTCCCTGGTGTTCCACCCCCCGCAAGCTTACCTGGTGTAAAATGATGTATCGTTCACGAAACAGCTCTGCTTTGTCTCTTGCTGTTCCAAATACATTCGGTGCAGGGTGGTTGGTCATTAACAGACTAGAAAAAGGAATGTCTATTTTTGACTATCATAATTAACACAGAAGCAGGCCAAAAGTGAAACACAAGACCATATACTTTCTGAAAGAAATATACATTTGAAATTCAATAGATGGTATACTTACGGAAGGAATTTTTTTCTTTCTGAATTGTACACAAAGCGTGGAATATCAAATGCTCCTATGATATTGAAAGCATGTTCTCTGAAAAACATCCCACAAAAACCCAGACTTGATTTACTAAAACGTAAGTCTCCAGGTGAACATAACAACTTCCATTATAATCCTTTGTCATACATAATGTACTTTTCACATTTTCTCAGGTCATGCACACAATTTCTTACAATGTCAAAATTACTTGGTGGGTAAAATTTTTAACTTGTGCATTTTCCTTTAAAGGGACAAGAAAGTACTGCCAATATTCTCAAGAAAAAAAGTCAAGTTAACGTCTACTTAAGAATGTCATATGTTGAAAAGCATTTATGTGTACAATGGTCACATGTTAAATGTCTCCCTATCTATACGGCTTTTGGGAGCTACAATACTACTAAAGGATATGATCCACTTCCAACAGGTTTTTAAATCCAAGATTTTCCTGCCAAATTGTCCCAGGAAAAGTTGTACAACAGAAAAGGAACTACCTACACAAATTCTAGCCATATCCTTGACACTTATGCAGAATATACAGTATTGGAGATGGAAAACCAACAGAATAATTTAATTTCAGACACTGTTAGTAACATACCCATGTTTTAAAAAGTAAAAACTTCACAGCACTATTGCATAAATATCCCAACCTAAACAAGCAAAAAAAAAAAAAAAAAAAAACTCCCCTAAATTTATATGTGTAGCTTCCAAATTGAAAATGATCAGAAAAGGTTCATGCTACCCTGGTGGTAACAACAAGTACAGAGTAGCAGAGAGTCGGGGACGGCAGACACATGATTTCCTAGTAGATTAATCTGGGTAGGTTATTCAACTTGTTATGCAATCTCTTCCTCTGTAAGAACAAGAGCCTCTCTCCTGTGCTCTGACATAATGATTTTCTGACAATGGAAGGTACAAGATCTGTTCCCATGCAGTCCCCGTGGGACCTCCACATTGGCTGGCTAAACATAAACTGTTGATGGAAATAACAGGTAAACTTTAGGGTAAACAATGGGAAAGTGCCTATTTTAGGAACATAATTCTTAAACTTCAGTACAAGCATTTTGAATTTCTACTGATAGCTTTAGAGACATACTCCATTATTTTAAATGATGAGTTCCCAAGCATTAAATAAAAAGTCCTCAATTTCTCCTTCTTTTTACTTTTTTTCAAGCAGTTATAATAAGTTCTGACAGAAAAGATTATAACTACTGACTAACACGAGAGTGATGACTCCTTTCAAAAATCTCCGTTGCCCCAAATAGGAAAGAACCATTAAGTTAAAACTATCTCTCTGCCTGTTTACCCTGGTGATTTCGTCAGTTAAACCCTATGAATTTAAGGAAAGTATCATGTCATAAAAGGAGGAAAGCAAAGAAAGATAACTCAGAAATAAAACCCTGAAAAGCTGTTGCCAATAAGACAAGGGAGGCATAAAACTGAGGTTCTCTCCTCATTTGCCATTCACCATGTGACCGACCAAGTGACATGCTGACCGACTCTGGGCTCAGCACTTACCTAAGAGTAAACATAAATTACATTTCTGAATATTCATTCACAGCATACTGAATGTAAAGTCAGATCAGCTGGGTAAGCAGAAGTCGGTAATGGTACAAACAACCCTGCATCTCAAACTCTGGGAAAAATTAGTAAAGACAGTCATCAAATAGAAAGAAACACAGGTATAATGACAGCTACCATTGTAGCAATGCTGATCATTAATTATTTCCCCAAGAAAATTATTAAAAATAAGGACTCGATACCATCTCCCACAGCAGAAAAAGTAAATTTACATACATAGTCTCATCAAACGACTGACTGCATTCCTGGACTGCTGCTTCTACCGCAGAGCGTTCAATCATGTTTGATGACACTGAAAAGAGAATTTCAGAGTCAAATTTTAAAAACAGGCATCAGAATCAGTTCCACAAATAGCTCTTTTCCTAAAAATAATCTATAAATAGTAATACTGGAATTCTCTCGTTATATAGTTTGGGGGGTGAAAGGAATGGGTCAGAACAGTAGCAAAAGCCTTATGTCAGTCCAATGCCTTCATTTCCTAAGTACTGTTTAGCAATATAAGCTTAGTGGTAAACACATTTCTGTTAGCTCAGTTTTAATAAGGTTACATTAATGTAACTTCATCACAGCTGCTATGTTTCAATAAGCACAATGGTAACAAAGTAACAATAACAGCTGCCACTCATTTTGCATTGTTCCTACACATTTTATAGACTGATGTTAATATGCCCGTAGTTAGTAGATTGGGAAAATGCAAGTTTGAGAGGTTGAATAACTTGCCCAGGAACACAGTTAGAAGTACACACTTCTAGCTGTGTTCCCAGCTTCTCCAATCTCAGAGTGGGCTCCCTTAACAACTCTAGTGTATTCTTAGGCAAAATGCGAGTACAGTGGGCCATCTTAAGGTATAATAAGGACAAGTATCATTTTCTAAATTTTCCAATCTGAAAGAATTTTTTAAAAGCAAAAGCATATTTTACATTCTGCATTTAAAAGTGAAAATGACCCAGTATCAATTTCTCCTGTATCACAGAACATGTTTCTTCCTAAATAGTTGAAAAGACTAGCATCTCTACAACAAGAGATTGAGTCTTTCAGGGTGCTAGAAAAATTGTACATTTTTTTCAAGCTGAAAGCATTGTTCCTTTACAGGCCCATGCTTGTGGTGTGAGGTTAAGTATTTGACAAAGAGATCTTTAAATATTTTGCTTTCAGTAAAATGCCTTCCAACTATGCTTAGTATATTAACTACCTGGATTGGTAGAATTGCGTTCTATTGACTAATAAAAGTTACTACCTATGCTTTTTACTAATTAAATAAATATGCTAAATAAGTAGCAATTACTAGCCATTCCAGGACAAATAAATCTCTGAGGAAAACAAGAAAGGAAAGTTAGCCCTGCTTATCTTACTCTACTCTCCTTTCTCCCCCCGCCCCCAGACATTTAGGACAACCCAGCAAGAGTAAGACACTGCCACAAAAGTGACCACAAAGAATCAGATCAAAATCAAAAGTCTCGCACAGAAAAGATGGTGACACTTCCACCACACAGGAGGGAACTGTAAAGGGGTACTTTGAGGGTCCAGCTGAACTAAAAGTATTACTCCTCGGGAAGAAATGCTACATACGTGTGTCTTATAACACTAGAACACCTTAATATTGAATCCTCAACTTCAATTTATATCTATAAATCTAACCAAGTATGCAGAACTATATTAACGATTTAAGACTCATCAGAAAATATTACACTTACAGGGTTGCTTTTCAACTGCATCGATAATCTTTACTAGTTTATCTTCAAGCTCCAGTTCATTGATAGATTGAAGAGCTTCTGTGAGGTACTTAATAGCTTCACTGATGAGAAATGGAAAGATGAGGAAGGTCATTGGTAATGAAAGGCTAAAGTCTTATGCCAAAAAGGGGCAAACACTCATTAATCTGGCTTTGAAATCAAGGTCTACACCTTCCTCCCTTCTAGAGATACTCACCTTCCCCGTACTTTCTGAACAAAACCATCCTTTTGTGCCTGGCTAACAAAATCACTCTTAAAAGTCCCTAATCACATCCTTCCTCTAAGAAGCCTTCCAGACCAGCACCACCTGCTACAATCTCCCCTTCCTTCTGAAATTGTTATAAATCACACTTACGTATACCTTAGATCTGATTTATCACATTACCCTTGTCTTATTTATTTCCTTACATCTAAAACAAGAATCTACCTGCCTCAATGTCAGATAACATATCCTGAAAATAACAGGCACTCATATATTTGTTAATCTAATAATGCATTTGTTCTTTGTTCAAAGTAAATTCCAGTCATTTCATCACTGTTTTCAATTATAAAATTAGAAAAAAAACTAGACTGTAAAAAACTATGACAACTGAATACAATGATAGAAACAACACTCATATTAAAGGCACACGAATTCCTACCAATAATGCTCAGAATGAACAGTCTACTTAAACAACTAGTCAATAACATGCCGCTCTGTATTTGCAGCATACAACTGTACGTTTTATATCAATGTTATTATCATAGTTATCACTTTAATTGTTCCACACGTTGTGTTGCTTATTGGTTGTTTTTTGTGATAGTGTCACATCTCTTCAACTTATTATTGAGAACTGAGTTATTGCAGGTAACTTGAGAGTTGGAATTGTGGCATCCTTTGGCAGAGGACTAAGTACACTTGACGGTGGTCTACAAAGTGTACTTACTTGACAGCTGAGTTCCTAAAATCACATACATTTTGGGTAAATATTGAGACAGCTCTTAAGATAGAGTGCTATGTAAAGCCATAGAAAATCTGGCCCCTGCCAAATCTCACCCGGCTCATGCAGTGTCCTCCCTGACTTTCCTGGTGCTCTCCAGCTTCAGGGTATTCATATGGCCATTTCCTCCCAACCTTCTCTCCACCTAGTCAAGTCTTGCTCATCCTTTAACATTCAGCCCAAACACTTCTTCAGTGAAGCTCTTCCTTGACTCCAAACCGGTATATACACTCTCCTAGCACTTCTTTCCTGGAATCCTTTTCCCAATTGAAATTAAATAATTGTTTCATATCCATGGTAGACATGCTTCCAAGATGCCCCCCCCAATAATCCATACCTCCTGGGTGTCACACTTTTGGGCAATTCTCTTCCTTTGAGTGGGCCAGACCTAGCAACATGCTTCTAAAATTGAATATAGCATCCTGAGCAAGAGAAAGATCCTGTCTCTACTAAAAACAGAGAAACTAGCTAAGCATTGGGGTGGGTGACTGTAGTCCCAGCTACTTGGGAGGCTGAGACAAGAATATCACTTAAGCCTAAGAGGTTGAGGTCGCTGTAAACTATGACCCTACAGCACTCTACAAGAGCAATAGAGTGAGACTGTCTCCAAAAAACAAATTTAAAAAAGGAATATAGCAAAAAGGGATAGAATAACTTACTGCATTGTAATTTTAAAAGTAAAATTTAAAAAGTAACAAAATATCCTTTCCTGGTTAGGTTATCAAAGACTGTAACTTCAGTTTTGTTAGCAGATTCTCTTTCCATGAAGCCAACTGCCATGGGGGGGGCGGGGGGGTCCACATGCCAAGGAACTGAAGGTACTCTCCAGTCAATAGCTTGCAAGGCCCACCAGGAACTGAATCCTGCTTAGCTGACATTGAAGATGACCTCATTTTACTGCAGCCTTGTGAAAAGGTCTAAAGCTGAGGACCCAACTAAGCCACACCTGATTCCTGACCCCTGTGAGGTAATAGATGTGTGCGGCTTTAGCCTCTAAGTTTTGGGATAATTTGTTATGGATAGAAAACAAATTATCTGCAATAGATAACAAATACACTATCTGCCGCCCCAAGGAGCTCCAGAGTATCTTACTCTCTCTTACACTCTCTTGTCTCAGCATAGCAGCTAACAGATTTAAGTATATTTCTGACTGAATTAATTAATGAACAAAAGCTTACTATTCAAATTTGAAGTGAAAGGAGAGAAAAGTTAATTGAGTAATTGCTCGTATTTTCAAAAGGTTAAGGACCTCCTAGACAAAATTCATTTTTCCCCAAGGTATGTGAACTCTTGCCCTTACTCACCATTTACCCAAAAGCAAAATTAAAGGTCCCATAAAACTTGGAACTGAGCACTGAAGCACACACCTGAAATTCCAGCTACTGGGGAAGCTGCGGTGGAAAGACTGCTTAGCCCAGGAGCTGGAGACCAGCCTGGGCAACAACATAGTGAGGTCTCGTCTCAAAAAAAAAAAAAGGTCCCATAAAACCGACAGTTACGAAAACTACAAAAACAATCCAAAAAAATTCTACACCCATGAGAACAATCAAAATCTGGTACAGAAAGTTATATTCAGTCCAGTGTGTATTTAAATAAGTATCAAATATTGTATTCTAGAAAACAAAGTAGATTTAATGAGAGAAATCTTGGAAAGATTCATTCTATAGATCTTAGAAAGCACAGCGCCTGTGACTCAAAGGAGTAGGGTGCCGGCCCCATATACCCGAGGTGGCGGGTTCCAACCCAGACCCGGCCAAAAAAAAAAAAAAAAAAAAATCCAGAATGACACCTAAAAACATTCTTACACCTATCTACTTTTCTGCAACAGTAAGTCAGAGACCACAGATAACGCTTGTGCACTTTCCCAGGGGTCCCGCATTTGACGTCTCAGTGACTGCGGGAAGCAGCGTGGTTACGATTCCCACCAGGGCCCAGTGGTTCTCAACCTTCCTACTGCCGCGACCCTTTCATACAGTTCCTCATGTCGTGGTGACCCCCAACCATAAAGTAGCCATGAAGTAGCAATGAAAATAACTTTATGGCTGGGGGTCACCACGACATGAGGAACTGTATGAAAGGGTCGCGGCAGTAGGAAGGTTGAGAACCACTGCGACTGGGCAGAGGCGCGACTTCGGGAGCCCGAGAGGTACTCAGTTTGACAAGTGCAGAGGAGAACCGCCCGCCAGGAACAAACACTTCAACACCCCGCAAACGTCGGGGAACCTGAGAAAGCATCGCGGTCTCCAGACCGCACCGGATCGACCTTGCTTCTTAGAACTTTTTAAAGGGTCTCTATCAGGAGTTAAGGTCAATCCCCTCCTCGGCGCGGGGGGAGCCGCCGCGGTGAGTCCTGCTGCCCTGCGCGGCGGCCTCAGCCCTCCCCTGTCGCCCCACAAGCTGCCGGACTCGACTCACCCCCGCAGCAGCAAGCCCCGCAGCTTGAAGGCGGAGAGCGCCCGGCTCCGCACCCGCTCCGGCGCCATGTTCGCAATTTGGCGCCACCGCCGTGGCCCCGCCCCTTCCCAGGCGCGCCCCGCCCCGGTCCCGCCTGTGGCCCCGCCCAGCCCCCGGAGCGCGGCGCCGGGCTGGGCACCTGCTAGGTCCGCACAGACATCCTTGCAGTGTGCCTCAGGACCCACTGGGTTGAACGTGCATACCACCCCGCACTGCTTTGCTGCCAGGAGACTGAAAGGCGAGAGACACCTTCCCCTATATAGGGGGATAGCGCTTCCCCTGTCCCCAGTGCTCCGACGTGCGGCTCGGCGCTGTCACCGCTGCGCTTGACCTTCCGTGACTTCGCCGGCATATTGCACCCACACCTTTCTTTCGGGGCCGTAAGAGCTGTAGGGAGGCCCGGTGTACTCATGTGCCTTACTGCGCACAGGCTCTGGAAATACTGCCTCACTAGGTTTTCTCGCACATTTACTCGAAGCTGTTAGAAATCTCCATCACGCCCACCCACCTTGTTTTGTTTAAGCTGAGGGGTTCCAACGCCCCATCATCTGTACCATAAACGCTTTAAATATACGGATTGAGCTGTGGCTCACAACAGGCTAATGAACTTGTTGGGTTCCAGATAACTTTCTGCGTCCTCGACTCCTGGGGTGCTCTTCTAAGAAGAATAACCAGACACCCCAAGGTAAGGCAAGCGTGAACAAAGTTTATGGAGGAGGAGAAAGGTTTATAGATGAAGAGCGAGATATAAGTTTACAAATTTACAAGATATAGGTTTCTTGATACTATGGATATATCACTGAACAAGGCACAACATCTCTGCTCAGTGGAGCTTATAATACATAGGGGAATGTGACAACTATTAACTACAGGTACTAGCAGTGTTTTACGAAGTTTCGGATGCTAACAGGATATATAACAAATGGACCTAAACTAGACAGTAAAGTTCTCTACAGATAATGATGTTTAAACTGAGGACTGAAGAATAAATAGGAAGTTTCTAGGTTTAATGAGTCTAATATATATAGTGGATAAAAAAGAGAAAACTTGATGTTTAAAATACACTTCTATAGCAATATGGCAGACTAGATATCTTGAACAATCCTTCGTCTAAAAAATAATCTAAAATTTTGATCAAATATAAAAGCCAATGTTAAAAATGTATCAATGGGCCAGCAAAAAAGTAAAGAATACCCTGAGGAAAAAAAGAAAAGAAAAACAGGAACAAATATCTTCTTAAAAATGAGAAATCAGAAGGTAAGCAAATGACAGTATCTGGCTTTCTCCACGAAGTGGCTCGTCTACTCAAACACTGAAACTCACTTATTCTGCACCACCAGGAGAAGTGCAAGTAACAGGATGCAACGCATAGAGGCTACCCAGGGTGTGGAGTCTGACAGAAAACGCTTTGCATAGAGCTAAAATTCCAAAAAGCTTCACTGAGACACTACGGTATTTCTAACATTTTGGATTAGCAAAACCCTAATAGCTTAACAATGTACCCTATTAAGCAATCACTGTTGTACGTCGCTGGTGTTGATAGAACTTATATTGAGAGAAATTCAGCTATATCTAGCAAAATTACATATGCATTTCTCCTCTGACCAAGCAATTCCCCTTCTAGAACTCTACCCAAAGCATATACTTGTAAAAATACAAAATATCATATGCATAATGTTGCAGCATTATCTGTGACAGCAAAAAAACTGGAAATAACCAATACGTCCATCAATAAGGACCTGGTTGGAAAAACTATTACATTCACTCAGTGGAACTCTGTGAAGCTGTCAAAAGGCCTGAGGAAGATCCATACACACTGAATGATACATTGTTAAGCAAAAAGAGCAAGTTATACACAGTGCATATAATATGCCTCCTTTTGTGTAAGAAAAGGGAGAAATCTGCATGCCTTTGCTAAACAATGTCAAAAAGAAACAATAGAGAGTATCACTAAAGGACACACCAGACTTAAATGCCTCCTAATGATATGGAACATGAAGCCTTTTTTTTTTTTTTAGACACAGTATCACTCTGTCACACAGGCTAAAAGTGCCCTGGCATTGTGAGCAACCTCAAACTCCAGGGCTCGAGTGATCCTCCTGTTTCAGCCTCCCAAGTAGCTGGGACTACAGGTACCTGCCACAACCCCTGGCTGATTTTTTCTATTTTTAGTAGACGTGGTCTTACTCTTGCTCAGGCTGAGTTTGAACTCCTAAACTCAAGCAATTCTCCCTGCTTGGCCTCTCAAGAGTGTGTTAGGATTACAGGTGTGAGCCACTGTGCCTGGCCAACATGAAGCGTTCTTGAACAAAGCTGAACCAGAATCTAATGAAACCTCTAGCTACAGCTTCTAGTCTAAAATAAATATGGGAAAAGATGAGCAAGTGAATGAAAAAGCACACTGCTTAACCAGGCGTCGTGGCAAGCGCGTAGTCCCAGCTACTCGGGAGGCTGAGGCAAGAGAAACACCTAAGCCCAAGAGTTGGAGGTTGCTCTGAGCTGTGTGACGCTGCCACGGTACTCTACCGAGGGCAATAAAGTGAGACTGTCTAAAAAAAAGAAAAAAGAAAAAAAGCACACTGCCGAAGCAATCCAAGCCAGAATGAATGTGGGGTAGCTAAAGGTAAATAAGGAAACTAACCCATTTAACAAATCAATGGCATCAGAGAGATAGGAGAGAAATTATTCTTGATTAACGAAGACATTAAAAAGTCTGAAGGGCAGCACCTGTGGCCCAAAGGAGTGAGGCGCTGGCCCCATATACCAGAGACGGGTTCAAACCCGGCCCCGGCCAAAAACTGCAAAACAAAAAAGAAGTCGTAAAGCCAGGATCAGCATCTCAGACCTGTATTTCTAGCACTCTTGGAGGCCGAGGCGGGAGGATCCCTCAGTTCAGGAGTTAGAGACCAGCCTGAGCAACAGAGAGAGACCCCATCTCCACCAACAATAAGAAAAAAAACTACCCAGGCTTTGTGGAGGTACCTGTAGTCACTGCTATTTGGAGGCTGAGGCAGGAGGATCGCTTGAACTCAAAAGTCTGAGGTTGTGGTGAGAGCCTGATGCCAGGGTACTCCAGCCTGGGCAATAGGGTGTGATTCTGTCCCCAAAGGAAAAGAAAAGACAGAAAAAGAAAAATCTTAAGAGGCCTAACAACCAAAAGCAATGCTGGCCAACCCAACTGCAGAAAGTCATTTCATTTTGAAAGAACCCAGTACTGTGACCAGCTAGAGCACCGAGCGCGGCAGAGCTGCCAAAGCTGCCGGAGTGCGGACGAGCAGCCGGAGCGAGGCAGGCCTCCGGGCAGCCCCGGCGCAATCCCGCCGCCAGGAGCCGACACCGCCAGCCCCGCCGCGGGAGCGAGGAGCCGCGGGCTGCGCAGACGCGCTGCTCCCGCCTCCCACCAATCTGGACCCTCGGCGCGTTCCGTTCGTGCGTGGAGGGGCTGGGGCGGGAGGAGAGGCCGCTGGGCGGGCCGGCGCCGCGCGGATGGCGGACTCGCAGCTGTTCTGCGTGGCGGAGGAGCGCAGCGGCCACTGCGCCGTGGTGGACGGAAACTGCCTCTACGTGTGGGGGGGCTACGTGGTAAGGGGAAG